CTTTAAATTCTTTGGAAAATCAAATATTTAACTACCTCTAAGCGGTAGAAGTTGTAAGGGCTAGTTAATGTTTGAGCTTTGATTGTTCTGTATGCACTTTAGTTCATTGCAGTAGGGCTATTAAATACATTAATAGGTGCTGGATGGATGCAATTGTCAGTAGGCTTTGCTGATAAGAGGATCTTTACTGCCTGATTGCCAGCTAAAACATCCTCATCCCACACTTTGTGTCAAGACGGTGGAGCTTTTAGATACCAAAACAGCAACTGATACAGGCTGGCTTCTGTAACCCGCTTCTCATATCACAAGTTGTCAAAAATAGTGGATATGCTTTCGAATAGTTCAGTAGAATCATAGTCGTCTAACGAAGAGTCAAGTGCTGTAGATGTTGAAGAGAGGTTCTCATCCCCCTCCTCCGTCTCCATGTCGTTTGAGGCTGTAGTCTCTTGTGGCACCTTCGAGGTGAGCCAGCTACCCTGGCTTGAGATGGCAATTGTGTTTACGGTCTCCATTTTGGTCACTATTTGAGGTTTACTCGTGGTACCCTTAACTGTTGTCTTGTGTGTCTCCTCTTTCCCCATGGTTTCATTGTTTAGGATATGAGTTGAATCTGTGGGCCAGGTATCGGTGGTGGTCTGATTCATGGCCACGGGAGTGTCAGGCTCATGTGTGGTTGGTGGCATGGATTTGACCAACCAGCCAATGGCATCGATCCAAGGGTCCTCAGTTCTGATCACTTCAGGGTATTTTTCATCCAAAAAATAAGGCAGAGGGCCTGGGTTATTCCCTCTCTGATTCGTCGTCCTTGTTGATATTAACTCCAAAAGGTTGGGTAAAGAAAATCCGTCAACCAGCAGGAAAGCTACACACAAACAAGCCAATAATGGTTGGTAGAGGAGCATTTTTGCTCAATTTGGAGACTATAAAAATAAAATAAAGAGTGTTACTATTAATTGTCTAAGCCACGAGCATATGAGCATATATGCAAACATGCATATATGCGCATAAGTGAAAATATAGTAACGGAATAATTTTGTAGGACACCAAAGTCGCTAAGGAAGGATAATGGGATTTTTACACAATCAAGTGACAGCGAATTTCACATAGCCATGTCCCTTAAATGTTCATCTTATTCAAGTTGAACTGCAGCTTTTGACCTCGCCCAGGTCTCATCCTTATACAAAACTGGCTTCGTTATTTGTTCGCGAGTATCGTGAAGACGTTATCACTCCACTACACAGCTATGGCTGCCAGTGGAGTATGAGGCCAAGGTGATAATAAAGGCAAGCCAGGCTACACACAAATCCCATTTTATACTGGAATTGTTGAATAAGCAGGCATGGTTTGCCATTGCGGTCGATGATGTTGCTCATTTAGAGTATAGGAATGCTTCGGGAATATTGGAATTTTTTAGACAAGTACTGAGTCATTTATGATGATTTAAGAACTGAGATTTGGATTTTCATATGTTATATCATACATTTCAATAGTCTAGTCAAGACTACTCTTCTTTTCATCCGATTCACCTCACTGGCCAGGCCGTGAGATGCCAAATTTATTTGCTAAAATTAGCACAGAACCCATGGGCAAAATGAATCAAAATATGGAGCATGCGAATAATAGTGCTATTTTTAGTATGTTCAAAATTGTGATTAAATAATCTATAATGTATTAATAGTTAAAGCTTAAAATTAAAAAAAATCAAATAATTCAAAAACATGCTTATATAATGCAGTTAGACAGTTATCCTACTCCAAATATGCTCACAACTCACTAAATTAAAAATAACTGGCAGAATGCTTCTGTCTTGATGTTAATTTAGCTAACTTATTTACAAACGTGGTTTGCTGTTGCTAAGTCCGCAATTCAAGTATACTACGGAATTAATAGCTTTTAGTCTTATGAGTCTAAAAATGCAAAGTTTTTTTTAGCTTGATTGGTTGGCGCAACCTTCTAGAGTCCAATCACGTGCCTGAAAAAATGACCAAAATAGAAGTCTGCGAATAGTTTCTAGGCGTCTTAACCAACTAAGGAAGCAAAGACTCCCTGTTACCGACTTTCGATTCGGTTGAGTGTGTAAAGAAAGCCCTGGCTAGGCCGAAACTATAGCTTAGCTCCTATAAAGACAAGGTCAGGGGAAACCTAGACTCGGAACCCCTATTATTTCTCAAGTGACAGATAGACTGGGTCTGCTTTGGAAAACATTTAGGCCGTAAACTTCGCCGAGGTATTAAATTAATCATCGAGTAGTCAGCCCACACTCACGAGATGCATTTAATGTTATAATCCAGAAAAATTGTGGGTTAATTCCAAATACTTGCGCTAATAAGTCGTGAGATAAGAATAAACCATTGGTATATCCTCCCATTTAGGAGAGCAAGTATGTCCCAATTGTGACCAGATAGGGGCTGATTAGTTCAATAATTAAGGGAATTAAATTCCTGTTTATTATATTCATAAGATGCGGCAGCTTATTTTTAACTGATTGAAAGTCGGTTTATTGAACATTGAGAAACTCCGAAGCATTTTGTTTTAATACTAATGTAGCAACTTAAAGAATGCGAAGCAAGTTGAGGCAGGCAATAGGTTTCGAAAAACAAGATCAAGCTTTGGGTTTGAATCTCATTAATAAGTTTAGCACAGGACATATTTTTGAGCTTTTACGATCAATTCTACGTGGAATGTCTGAGTAGATGGCTTAACTGTCATCTTTTTTAGTACTAAGGTTTGTGCTTCATTGAGATAGTGAATAAAAAGTTTTACGGGCAATGCAGCTCTAGTAGATTGTTAAATTAAATCATAATTAGAGCTATTATTAGAAATCGATATATGCAAACCAATGGCTTCTTTCTCGGTCGATGTCTGTATTAGGGCAGAAAATAGAACAGTAAGAATACACTAAAGTGAGTCCCAAAATTGTCTAAATAAATACATAACAAGCCAAATTCAATCTGTATTTAGGGTGGTCAATGAATTGCTTAACCGAATATTTTACATTAAACTGAGATTCTTTCAGAATATCCTAATAACTATTTATATAACACTATTTAGACGAAATTTGCACTAAATTAACAGGATTCTACTAACAATTAGGGTGTATTGGTCATGAGCCTTATAAGGATGAAAGTCGAACCTGATTTTTTGTGCCGCCTCTTTATATACTTTCATAACTATCTAAAACGACTCTTATCAAAGATAAATGCTCCCGAAGGTACAGATTGTGCCTTCGCATTTATATAAATTCAATTAAAAATCATCTAGTTTAAGTAAAAAAATGAACTTTGAAGCTAACATAAATAAAAATATAACAAGCTGGTATCAGGCTAAAGAGTTACTAGGCAAGACTTTCGCTCTAGTTATTGCCTTCTAGACAGTCAAAGCTACAAGTCAATAAAACTTAAGGTTGCGACAAGGCGAAGTGCAGGGTATGAAAAAAGATTTATTGGGGGCTTCTTCGAAATACAAATTCATTTAATATACAAAGAGGCAAGGTAGGGCCTTTAATTCAAGCCGGCGCTTGTCAGCATACATCAACAATGGGTAAGTTTAAATAGGTCCAATGCATTTACTCTTCACCAATTAATTCTTGGTTGATTTAACAACAAATTATTTTAATTTATATATTGTTCTACTTAAACTTTTATTTAAGTAACATGCATTTAAGCTGAAACATTCAATTAATAATTATCCTTAAACGAATTCAACTTATGTTATAGAGATGTTCACAGAGGATCGCCGTGGCAATACAAAGCTTGGCTCTTGTTTTATATTAGTTGTATTAATTTGATTTTATTTGATCTTATATGATAAATCTAGATACGCTTTGCCTATTTGCAATTTATTTGATATTACTTATATTAATTGTATTTGATTTAATACCCTTGGATATGATTTGACGTGAATATATTATATTATATTTAATTTGATGAGATTACTTAATTTGAATTTTTAAATTTGATTTGATTTGATATGATTTAATCTGTAACGATTTGATTTACTTCAATTTTATTGAAAGTAATTAAATAAATTTTCATTA